CACGGTGAGGCTGCGTCCCACACAGCACAACCAGAAGGACCTACAACTAGAATATACAACTATACACTGGGAGGCTTTGGGTAGAAGAAGAAGAAAGAAAAAAGAAAAAGAAGAAGATTGGCAACAGATGTTAGCTCAGATGCCAATCTTTAAATTAAAAAACAAACAACTTTTGATAGCTGTATAACATCCAATACACAGATATAACCTGAACTGAAACATTCCCTATGGCTGGAGTTGTTTACCATTTTTCACTATTACAAATAATGTTTGAACAAACAGTTTCTACATAAATCTTTGATGGCACTTCTGATTATTTTCTTATATAGAATCCTGGTAGTGAAAGGCTAAAGGATATGAAGGTTAAAAGCTATGAACCCTTTTAAGATTCTTTTTTATTTTTTTAACAACATTTTAACAAGATTTCTAACAACACTCGTGATCTCTTTCTAGTCATGAGTATGTTTTTTAGAATCTCATTACTTGCTCATTTGACTCTACTCTTCCCATCTTTGTGGCTATGACTCTACTGATCTCATCCTTCCACAAGGTCTAAGTCCCTCCCTATATTATACCACCACATTCTCTCCCTTCATCTCTGACCTCTGTGATCTGCCATCTTTAATGTCCTCTTTGCCATGGCCTATTACCTACACTATGTCAGGCCTCCAAGGTTCAGTGCCTCTCTTCCGCACTCCTGAGAGGACTCAATTCTGTTTTAATAATCAGCTCCACACTAGTGGCTCCCATATATTTCCCTAACTTTACCTCTCCTTTGTCCTCAGGTCTTCAACTGAGAGGTCCCATCCTCACCTATAGCTCAATGCCACCTACCACCCAATAATGCACCGTCCTCTCTGCCAAACCAGTATCCTTTCCCAACTTTATTTCTTATAGTGGGGCAACACTCCTTCAGTACTCCATGCTCAAAAACTTCAATCTTTAAGTCCTTCCTTAAATCACTCTATGTCTCAAAGTCATACTAATAATTTCTTCAAACACTTCCCAGATATATTCTTTTTTTGCCATTTCCATCGTCACCTCACACATGGATTACTGTAACATCTTCACATGTAGCAGCTATTCATGTTGTATTCAGAGGCCATGTTAATTGTCCAAAAATGATTCTTCAATGACTTCTGCTTGAAGGCTTCCTCTTTGTCCAAATTCATCTGGTTCAAAACCCTCAAAAGGCCACACCGTATCTCCTATTAGCTCCTCACCAAAATCCAAGGTAACCTTTTCTCTTTACTGCCCTTCCCAGCCCCCACGTCTCCAGACTCACTACTGCCCCTGCCTTTGCTCATGCCATTCTCCTCTCCCTTCGGTTCCAATGGAGCCTTCAGTAGATAATCCTAACCTACGCTACTCTTCCCTGCTCTGAATTCTTAAAGCCAGTGGTATACTGTGGTATACTGGCTCTTGCGAGAGGGTTGGCAGGGAAACGCCTTGATTTGTAGTGTTTGCCAATAACCCTCACCATGGTAGATTTCAAGCCACCAATGTAACATGACTGTGAAATTGGGAAGAGATGTGCATGAAGCCAGTAGGAACCTGCTTGAGGACTTCACAGCAGCACTTAAACTCCGTTCTGCAATCTAGAACTTAATATATACTGTCTTGTATAAGCTCTCCAGGTGTATTATATAGCAATATTTGGTTACTGCAATAAACTCTAGCCCTACAAAGAGTGGCAGTCCGCTCATGTTAGACTTTTCACAGTGTACAGGGCGCACAGGAATGCTCAGTAAAAACCTGTTCGCAAGATCCGGAGGAAGTGATAAGCAAAGCCAAAGATTGGAGCTGTAAAAATGAGCATGTACTCATAGAGTTGGTTAGCAAAAACAGTGAAGGAGCAGAATGTAGTGGGGAAAAAAAGCAGAATGGAAGCCAGGAGATAACTGGTTACGTCCTAGCTTTGTACCTGTGTGACCCTTAGCAAGTTAACTCCCTTCTTGGGCCATAGGTTTCCTCATCTGTAAAATTACGGGACTGGACGACAAGACTTGTAAGGTATCTCCTGATTCGAACGCTCTGGGATGTGAGTTAAACTGACATGGAGGCTGCCCATTGTCCCCTGCATTGGTATAACAATGATAATAATAAATTCATTTTAAAATCTGATAAGTCAAAGGAGTTTAGGGCAGTTAAACTTTTCTGAAGGTGTGAAGAAACATTCTTGCAAGGCCATTCCATTTCTGACCTAATAATTATTCTGTAGAAAGTAATAAAATTATTATTAAAAATAATTATTTTCAAAAATAATTATTGAAAATAATTATCGAAAAAAATATCTATTGCCTGTCTACTATGAGGTGGACACTGGTAAGTGCTGCAGATTTAGTAAAAACAAAACAGACCCAGTCTTCACCTGGTGGAACCCACGTAGTGTGGGTCATTAGCCATTTAGTTCCAAATCATCATATCAGTGCTTTTTAACTTAAAGAGCACAGACAGTTCTGAGTAATGGATGCAAGCTGTGGACCTTTACTTTCCCAAACAGGTATATAGTCAGAAAAATTTGGATATAATTCCAGAGGTTCACAGGATCTCTCATCTGTGAAGGGGTCCCAGAACCACAAGTTAACAACCCGAACCTATATCTACAGCCACATCTACAAAACAATAAACAAATTCAAGCTCATAAAAGCCTATGTTCTGTTTGCTAAGGGAGTATAGTAAAGATTTTCAACATAAACAATTAAAAATAAAGGGCTATCATTTACAGGATTAAGCTTTGGCTATTTAAAATTTCACTTACCTAGAGTATCTTATTCCAAATGATATTCTGAATGAGTGAGGCGTGCCTAGATTATGTTTCTACTTGATCTATCATTCCTTTGGTTAAGGTTGCCTGTAGGGGCCAGCCCCATGGCAGAGTGGTTAAGTTCGCGCGCTCTGCTTCGGCGGCCCAGTTTCACCATTTGGATCCTGGGCGTGGACATGGCACCGCTCATCAGGCCATGCTGAAGTGGCATCCCACATGCCACAACTAGAAGGGCATGTCCACAACTAAAATATACAACTATGTACAGGGGGGATTTGGGGAGAAAAAGCAGAGAAAAAAAAGATTGGCAACAGTTGCTGGCTCAGGTGCCAATCTTTTAAAAACAACAAAAAAGTTGCCTGCTAAATGCCCTCACCTGAAAATTCATTTGCATATGAATGTGTGCTCCCATTTCACAAGTAAATCTGCATTTCATGAATCTTCCACTTCACTTCAGAGACCCAATTAGCATGACACATATGTATACACACCTATCCTGAATAAGCAGCTTGGACAAAGCAAAAAGCACAAGTTCCAAGATGAGAGCACTGACTCACCTTCCTGCTCTAACATTTTACGGCGGAAGTGATCTTTGACAAGTCATTTAACCCTGACTTATGTTTATTCTTTTGTAAAATGGAAAGGCGAGGATAAGAGTGCTGCTATGAATAATCAATCAAATACAATAATGTACGTCAAAGTATTCAGCTATAAAGTAGACAAAAATGAAAAAAAGAAAGTTTGAGCAGATTCGCTTGGAGTTGCTCACAAAACAAGACAGTCAGAGAAGATCCTTTGGGAAGAGCTGCTCATGTAACATCCTTAGTGGATCTATCTGGAGTAAAAGAAATCGTTCTTACATTGCTCACAGAATTCTGTTCCAAGTGAGTGCCCGATGGTGAAGTTTTAAACATCACGAGTCTGCAGACAGCCTCTGGAATCTTTATAACACATAAATATATTCTCAAGGAAGAAGATGAACTACTTAGACACACTCAGTCTTAGTTCCTACGGCATCAAATCCCTTTCACTCAGTCTATTGTAGCTTTTTTACAGAGCAATGATTCTTTCACTTACCTTGCTGAAAAGTTAACAGGACGTATAAAATAGATTTTAGGCAAATTAGTTCAACAAAGCTGAACAAATCAATAAAATCAATCTCTTTTAGTGGAAGGGGTGTGTGTTTTAAAGAAATTAAACAATATTCTCCAGTTTGAGACATGTTTTCCAGTCCGTTCTCCACTGGAACGCAAAATAAGCCATGTAAAGGATAATTTCTTTTTTACATTATTTACATTTACAATGGACAGTGATATTATTTCAATAGCCAAGTTTGGGGCGATTCTTCCTCTAAAATTTGAATTAACAACTTTTTAGTAATTTGGTACGAAGGAATAAAAGATCAATCACAACGCTTTATCAAAGCTCATAAAGGTGACCGAAAGAGTGATTTGCCCTGGTGCCTAGAAAAGGGCCAAGAAGCAAACACTGATTTCTCAGCCCCTACTAAGCAAAGGCTCTACTGGCTCCCAAAAAGGGGCATTAAGCTCTGACTCTACAGACTCACTACACAAATGTCTACTAGGAAAACAAACTCCAGATCCCGCATTTACATAACACTTCCATCCAAGAAATTCAAATCACTTAACTGTAGAATTGGTTAAAAGAAATGTACCCCCCATTTTAAGAAAACAAATACTATTATTCTGTGAGACCTTAAAAACCCCTTGCCTAAGCAAACACTAAATGGGTAAGAAACCTTAGACTTGAGGTTTTCTTTGAGAGCAAGGATAAACTCTGGGGATGGTGGGGGATGGGGGATGGGAGACTCAAGACTCAAGTAGAGCAACGGAGGGGAGAGATTAGGGTGGAAAACAAGGAATGGAGTTCTAGGGGCGGCAAGTGCATTAAGAACTGAGCTCAGAGGAGGCTACGGATGAGGAGGGCGGAGGAGAGGGATCGGGCAGCAAGGGCTCGTTAAGTTGGCAGGAGCTGCGTGGATGGACTGCCAGGTGCAAGGGTCACTTGGGCCAGGCCCCAGTGTCTGCTTAGCAGTTCTCGCTCAGCCCTCGCTCTCTCCCATTATTACTACCATGGGGGTAGGATTCCAAGCCACCTGAGGGGAGTGAGAGAAGCAACGGAGCAACTACCAGCCCCGGGGAGGCTGCAAGATTCCCCCACCCCAGCGGCCGAGCTGGCTTCCCGCCCTCCCCTAGACAGGCCCGCGTCTCACCTGCCGCCAGCCGCAGGCCGCGAAGGCTCCCCATGGCCACCTACTTCGCCGACCAGCACAGCACCTGGTGATGGCAGCGGTGCCAGCGCGTTCAATGTCATCAAGCACTGCTGTAGGAAGGACGCCACGACGCTGGGGGGCGGGGCGTGAGGGACGTGTGGGCGGAGCGAGCGGGGCGTGCCGGTCTCGCGGGGCGTGGGGGCGGGGCCCGTGTGATTTGCGGGGCCTGAGGGCGGGGCGTGCGGGTGGGGCCTGCGCGCTGCGCCGAGCGTGTAGGACGTGCGTGACGAGCCGAATGTGCGGGCGGCGCGCCGAGCCCTGTCCTGCCATGCGCGGCGTCCCGAACGCATCCTTGAGGATGCTTTTGCGGAGTCTAGGTATCAGGGGCGTTTGCAAAGTTCGCTGCATCTAAGGAAGTACCCGTTTAAAATAGAAGAGAAATAATGTGCTCGTTGTAGAACTTTTGTGAGCTGTAGACCCCGAAATCACACTGCCTAGAAAAACCCGTATTTCAGTACACTTTTTCTAGTGTTTTCAATGAATACTTGCCTTTATCAAAAACACATAATTGGGCTCCTGGCGACCGGTGGCCCTTTCTCTTATTGGCTTTGGGAGTACCTCTCAGGCTACCTGAGAAATTCACAGGTATGGTCTCTATTTTGTTTGCTATTTGCCTTTTTAAAAAAATAAAACTAAACGTTTTATTATTTCCATACCTAAACACTTTATTCAACCCTTACCCCACATTGCCAGAAATGTCTTTTCATTAGTTCTTAGCGGTCCCAAATTCTTAACGAACAAAGACTCCTCTGCTCCAGGGATGGGAGGTAAATAATGGAGAGGAAAGGCTTAAAAAAACCTCACTTCTATTCTAGATTTCTTCCTCGAACGACCTGGTCGGTGCGACCAGAAAACTGTTTCTCTTTTTCTAAGAAAATGAGATTGGAGTAAAACGATCCCTTTTAAGTTCTGACATTCTTCGATCCGTGCATCAGGGCCAGTTCTAGGAGAATATGTTAAAGAGGTAGGAGTGAAAAGGACAGCAAAGCTACAGCCTTCGATGTGGATGAGGACCAGGGAAAAGACAAACCCCGTGCTCGCTGATTTCCCTCGGAATATTTTTTGTTAGGCGGCGTCGTGGACACCTTTGCTCCGCGCTGATTGGCTTGCGGCGGGGGCCTCGCGTTTGTCCAATATGGCGGCGCCCAGTGGCGGTGTGAACTGTGAGGAGTTCGCCGAGTTCCAGGTGATGGGGTTTTCCTCATGTGACAGACGCGTCCCTCCTTTTGTCCCCTCACCATATTCTTGTTTCGACCTGGGAGGGAGTGCGAACCAGTTGCGGGAGAAGCGGGCAACTCAAGGTTCCTTCTTCGAGCCATTGGAGGTCATGGGGGCGCGGGCTTGGCCTTAAGGAGAGAGGCTGCTCCGCGGGACTCATGGTTCTCCCGGCGCTGCCAAGGCCTTGAGTAACCGCACTGGGAAACTCTGGGTGGTTCCGCGGTGGTAGAGCCGAGCTCGGGCCCAACGGATAGAGGTTGTAACAACCTTTTAGCCATCCCCGAACTCAGTTCCTAGGCTGTGCCATTCCCCTCCTTTAAGTTGAGCGTTTGTAGGACAGAAGAAAGTGAAGGAGAATTTATTTATTTGATAAAACAAAACACTTGGTAGAAGTTTTACTATTTTGGTGGGGGCAGAACGTTTGGAGCCTTGGAAGAGTCATTAATTCTAATACCTGCTCTGGTGCTACTGTCTTCCTAATCATTCGAGAAAACGTAACATTTAAGAAAAAGGCTGTGTCGTGTATATATTCAGTCACCGGAAGTCTAGGGCTAATTATTAACCCTAGGAATTAAAGAACAGGGATCTGAATTTTGACCACGTTGCTGTGAAAGTTATCTGCTCCAATGTAGGCATAAATGTGCTGCAGTGTAGGTAAAGAGTTAAGAAATCATGACCGTACAAATGTGTTTTTAACTAAAGATATTGAAAAATTACTTCACATATCGTTGGCCTATCTGTAGTAAGCTTTTTGCATTGAGCCGTTTTGTAGGGAGTGGTATTCTTGAAGATAGCCTCAACAAACTGAATTATTTGACAGAGATTTGGCCAAAGAAGTCTCTATGGGGTCTTTTCATCATTTCTTGCAACCCTCTTCACCACTTCAGCTGCTCCTCAGATTAGATCAGCACAAGAGCAGCCGAGTTCAGATGTGATCAAAGTGGTCAGCAAATACAAATAAAAACCTTAAGATAGCAGAAAGACTTGGAATCTAAAGTAAATGGAATATTTAAGATTAACTGGCCCATTTGTGGCCTTGGTCTTGTCACATTAGTACTGTGGCTTAACTTGAGTTCATGAGCTCAGATAATTGAGCAATGGTAGCCTTAAGGTTAATCAGAAAGAGCCCTGGTTAGGGAGTTAGATGTTCTGGGTTCTAGCACTGCTTCTGCTGTTAACAGCTTTGAGACCTTGAGTTCATCACTCAACCCTTTCAGGAATTAACTTTTGAATCTGTAAAATAAGTAACATTTAAAATTCCTTCTATCTCCATTATTTTTTGAATCTCTAAAACCAAATTTCAAAAGATCTCTTTTAGCTGTTAAAACATCCAGCAGTGCTTAAAGAACACTTTGATTTTCCTTCTGGCAGGTCAGGTAAGATGTTGTAAGTGGGGTAAAAGCTAAACTGTCTTGCAGAACCATTCCATTCACAGAGATAATGTAAATAAAAAGATCATAAAATGAGTCTCATTAAGGAAACCTGGGGGAAGTTTGTAGATAGTTTCTTTAGGTCTATAAACCAAATCTGTGGTTTATAACGGAAAATATCCTGGGTTAAAAGTCAGAAGATCTCGTTTTCCAGGGCTGGCTTTGGCATATCATTTAACCTCATTGTAAATGAGTGTAAGAACATTTGCCCCTGCTGCCTCAGAGGCACATAAACGAAGGCACTGTAAAAATGTAAAATTTTAGTATAACATTTAGGCTTCGACGAATTTGATAAAATTATAAACTGTGATTAATTGGCATACTCACAAATAATCAAAGTTTATATTTTTTTAAAGCTATGAAACCATTACATTTGAATGTAAGTACCCTAAATGTGAAAAGCACTGCAGTGAATATTGTGCAAGAGAAATGGGAAATCATGTATTTTTTATTGTAAAGATTTAGATAGATTTTTCAGAATTTTATTGTGGAGATGTTCAAACATTACAGAAAATTTGAGAAGATTTTACAGTGAACACTCATACCCACCGTCTAGATTCTACAGTCTAATTTGTTATACAGTCGTGCGTCACTGAACGCATAGGATAGGATAGGTTCTGAGAAATGTGTTGTTAGGCGATTTTGTCATTGCATGAACATCATAGAGTGTACTCACACAAACCTCGATGGTATAGCCTACTACAAAGTGTACTTACACAAACCTAGATGGTGTAGCCTACTACACACCTAAAGCTAGATTGCCATCTCATCATGGGTGTCCTCACTTGGTGTCTGCATGCAGAGGGAGAGAGATCTCTGGTGTCTCTTTCTCTTATAAGTACACCAGTTCTATGGGATTAGGGCCCCACCCTTATGACCTCGTTTAACCTTAATTACCATCCTAAAGGCCCTGTCTCCAAATACGGTCACGGTGGAGGTTAGGGCTTCAGCATATAAATTTGGCGCACAGTTTAGTTCATAACAGATACCTGCCAGGTACGAGGCACTTGGGGAAACCCAGTGGATGGGATATAAAACAAGGAACTTAATGTAAGCGGGGATATGAAATGTGTTGAAGATACTGAGAATTTGAATACAATAATAATTCAGAAAGAAATAAATCGAAAGATAGTAATTCAGTAGGGCCTTAGGTGGACAGGACCAAGGGAATTCTAGGTGGAAGGAACTATATATAGGCAGAAAATCTTATGTATTTGGGAGAAATAGCAAATCAGTATTGCTGGAATTGAGGATTTACACAGAGGCACATTGGGATTATACAAAAAATTGGAACCAAATTATGGAAGGCCTTGAATGCCAAGTGTGAGATTAGGGAGTCATTTTTGAGCAGAGGGGGTGAAATTATCAGAGATGCTTTAGGAAGCTTCATCACTACTGCCATGGTCTTTGTTCATGCCCTATAGTTTTTGCAACTAGCTTTGCGATAGCCCTCCTTGTCTGCAGCATTCCTTTCTCTAATATATCCCCTCTTCAATCTGATCTCCATAATACTCTGGCTTCATACTGGTATCTTCTAAATTTTAGAATCTGAACCGTGCATCTAATTTCAGGCTTATATGACCAGGTCTAAACTACTTAACATGGCATACAGGATCCAATCCCAAAGTGCCTCTCCCTAGTTTTATCTCTTACCTCTGTCCTTATTCATACGTTTCTCTCTTCCCAGCCCCACCACCTCCAACATACATTTCAACTCTGCTGTCCAGCCACATAGGCCTACTTTTCCCTAAACACATTGTGCTCTTTGTCATTTCTGTGCTTGTTTTCACGTGTTGCCCCCTTGAAATCCTTTCTTCCTCATCCTGAGACCCAGTTCATATTTCACCTGAACAAAATCAACTAAGTATTTCTTCCCCAGAATGTTTGGGTTTTGGTATTTCTGTTAGAAATATTTTTTCATTTATACACAATTGATTTTGAGTTGTATGGTAATTAGGTACAGACTAAATAGACTATTTTCTAGCGTCAATGATGTTTCCTTTTGCAACATGCCCAGCTGCTCTCTGTTCCTGTGCCTGGAGCTGTTGGGTGTTAGAGGACTCTGACAGTTTCAGGCAAGTGTGTATTTCTGGCTTGGGGGGAGCACAGCGTGAACATTGCTATAAAAATGGAATTCAAGGAATCAGGTCTGTCTGAAAAGAGCACCATGTGAGTGAGATCTACTTCTGGGTACCTTCAGGCAGAGGGTGAGGAGAGGAAAGGTTAAGACATTCTGGATCATTCTTCGAAGTACATTTTTATTTTACTGTCATATAATAGACCTTTTACCACTCCCCCAAATACCCTAAAAGCTGCCCAAAATAATAAGAGGAATTTTCCTAAGGATTAATCTTAGGAATGGAGTATAGTATAATTGTAGGGACAACAGAAAGTTTTCTCTACCCTTCCTTACGACTAAATATGGGCACTCCTTCGGTAGTGAAATTG